CCCAACTCTTGAACGTTTTAAATCACTGTTAAAAACACACTTCTTTTCTCTGGCATTTCCTCCAGTTAAGTTTGTCATCTTTCCTGGTAAATTTTTTAATTTAATTTAATATATCATCAACTGTCTATTATAATGTTTTATTGTTGTAGTTTTACTGTGTGCCTTGTTGTATTTTATATCTGTGAAGCACCTTGGTCAGCCTTGGTTGTTTTAAGTGTGCTATACAAATACAATTGATATTGATATTGATATTGATATATTGATTGGCTGTTCGCTACTGATGTCACACCTAAACTCCTTAACGGAGGATCAAAGCCAGAGTTGACAGAGAAATTGGATGATCAGCATTATGGCACCAACAAAGCCTGGTTGGATTGGTTTGGTTTTGTCAACTCGAAACTAGTCCTGCAACCCTGAGTTTGTTCAACTACCATCATGGTACAGGCCCCAGGTCTTCTTTCATCATATCTGGTCCTGGGTCTTAAGCTGTTACCCCATTAACAGTTTTGAACTTTATTCAACAATTTCTTCTCTTCCACGTAAGTGTCCTCAGCTGTTGGTGTAGTGTAAACAGTGCAGCGCTTCCGGGTTCGACGTCAGAACGGCGGCTCATTATTGGCTAACTCTTTCTGGCTATGTGGGGTCAGAAGCTCTGAAATTTCAGCAAAAATATATTAATATGTCTTCCGAAGATGAAGATGATTTGAGGGAACTAACCCTTTAAATGCTGGAGAATAATCCATCAGTTCTCAAATGAATGAATATCAGAACAGAAAAACACTTTCAGTTCATGTAGAATAAACTCTAGACATGTTTCAGTGTGTGATTTACATTGTGTTGAATGAATGGAAAAGCTTCATCTGTTTCTTCTGCTTTTAGTGCTGATGTCCCTCGTTCTCTCTGGACGCACTGAAGATGAGATGGGTGATGATGCTGAAGGTACTATATTTGCATTATTACAGTATCTCTGGGGACACACTTAACGACTAGCTGAAATAATCTAAGACTGAACTGAACACACTTACAGACTGCAGCAGATTTTAAACACAGACTGAAAGTAACTTCAGTCTCGGACGCAGCCCGTTTGGGCATGATCAGTCATGAGTATCAAATTACATTCATAATTGGCCTTACATTTAAGTGTGTCCCCGGATTACATTGTATTTACAGTATTTAACCAATGTGGATTGTGTTTTTTATGTTTATTGTCTACATGGATCAGATCAGGACCCATATTTTGTCTCTTTGCTGATGTTTATTGCTAATATTGCAGTCACACATTTCCACACGGCATCATTCTTGTGTAGTTCCTCGTGCTGCTGAAACTGCTGTCTTGCAGTTGTATAGTTTAGTGCAAACACAATCTTGCCGTTCAGTCGGACAATGATTTCCAAAGATCAAAATTATTGACTCTCTGTCATTAAGATCGTGTGCACCAATGCTAAGCTTTTATTCATTTAGTGTGGTTGAATCTTGCTGACTGTAAACAGCCTCATCTACCGGCCAGGGGTGCGTTTCCCAAAACCATAGTTGCTAACCTGTTGTAAATATATTTACTCTATAAGTTAAATTCATTTTCAATCTTATGATATGAAATTTCTGGTAACACTTTAAAATAATGGTCCGTAGTTAACAACTAGCTATGCAGGAAGTTATAGGTACTACTGCATTAACACCGAACTTAATACTATTAACTAATATGGAAGCAATATTAACTAAGCAGTAAGTAATAGGTAATTTAGTACAAAGGTAGTTCCTTGGTAGGTATTTGATTATTACTAAAGAAATATATCCTCATTGAGAACTACTAATTAATAACCAATTAATTACTAATCACAAAAGTAACATATCTAAAAAGTGAACAATTTTGGGGGTTTTATACTCTTAACATGATCATAACATTTCAGAAGCACGTGCCTCAAATGGGTTCTTTGTGGAAACCAGTTTATGAATATTACATCCCCCCAAATACATTTGCTAGGTGGAGATTGTGACTACTACTCTTGCCAGGATGGACGCATGTTCTCTGTTTATTTAAAACTTAAACACAAAATAATACTAATAATGACGGTTTTTAAAAATAAACCTTATATAATTAAGAAGTGATGCTGACACTCTCATGATTGGATTAGTTCACTATTATGAGCTCTATTGAATGTCAGTCACATATATCTCAGACTCCAAAGACCTATAACTTTATGTTACAGTAGCTGCCTGAGGTGCCACATTAGTGCCTCACAGAATCTGTACAGTATGTGTCAAATATAAAATTAAATAACTAACTACAAGCGTTACCTTGTGTAAACATTGCGGGATGACAAGCTAACGCTTGTAGTTAGTTAGGAGTTAACATGTTTTTCACTTTATAATAATGGGCCACATCAGTTCCTGCGGGATGACAAGGTAACGCTTAAGTAGTTATTGAGGAGTTAACATGTTTTTCACAAATGATACAAGTAATTTAATTTTATATTTGACACATACTGTACAGGTTCTGTGAGGCACTAATATTCTAACAAACACTGTAATCTGGAAGATGTGGTTTTGCGCTTATCGTAACATAAATGCAGCCAATTTCTTCATTAAAGATACAAATTGTTTTTGACAAGTGAACATCAATGTTTATTTTCATGTCCTAAAGAGAAGTCCTCCTCAGGCAGCTACTGTAACATAAAGTTATAGGTCTTTGGAGTCTGAGCTACAGTATATGTGACTGACATTCAATAGAGCTCATAATAGTGAACTAATCCAAACATGAGAGTGTCAGCATCACTTCCTAATTATTTAAGGTTTATTTTAAAATTTTTATATTAGGATTATTTTGTTTAAGTTTTAAATAAACAGAGAACATGCGTCCATCCTGGCAAGAGTAGTGGTCACAATCTCCACCTAGCTAATGTATTTGGGGGGATATACACCTGTGAAGAGACGACTCAACGCCTGCGATATGTTATGGCGCCGTTTTATTCATAAACAATATTTATATTTAATATTTATATTTAAACAATATGAATGTAAGCCAGAGGAGAACTGGCCCCCGACTTGAGCCTGGGTTCTCCCAAGGTTTTTTCTCCATCCAATCTGATGGAGTTTTGGTTCCTTGCCACTGTCGCCTTGCTTTTGGCTTGCTTTGAGCTTGCTCAGTTGGGGTTATTTAGTGTTTAGCAATGTTGTTGATCCTGTGTTGTGCTACTTTCATGTTATCAGTGTGAAGCTGCTTTGATACAATCTTTTATTGTGAAAAGCGCTATATAAATAAATGTGACTTGACTTGACTTATATAAACTTCATAAACTGGTTTCCACAAAGAACCCATTTGAGGCAAATGCTTCTGAAATGTTATGATCATGTTAAGAGTATAAAACCCCCACAATTGTTCACTTTTTAGACATGTTACTTTTGTGATTTATTAATTAATTGGTTATTAATTCTTAGTTCACAAGTAGTTCTCAATGAGGATATATTTACAACAACAGCAGATTACAGTTTCACAGCTGATGTGTCTCTCAGTGGTAAATACAGATGTAGAGGAGAGAGATCAGACTCACACACAGACCTCAGTGATGGAGTTACACTGACTGTATCAGGTGAATCTTCATATTCACATCTGTTTAATCATTATTTAATATCCATATTTCAACACTTATGATCTTCTGTATCAGCCACGTCTGTTCTTATAAGCAATTCACTTTTATTCATGATTGTCTGCAGATTAAGTGTCTTGTGTGTGTGTTGCAAATTTGTATCAGTAAACTTTTGTAACATCATGCAAATTGTGACTTTCCAGTGTTATAGATGTCTCCATCTTTGAGATTTACTTTAGTCACTGTTAGTTTGGTTACAGGAGATATTTAATAATAGAAAAGATGAGATTTGTCCGAGAGAATGACGTGACTTACAGACACTGATGTGAAATGAGTTGATGAAGTCTTCAGATATTCTGATGAAGTTGATTCAGACTCAGTATCTCCTCATATGAGCTTTAGTTGGAGATCTTCATCTCTCCTTCAGGAGCTTCATTCTGCTTTCTGTGGCGAGTCAGAGCCTCAAAACAACTGACATGATAAAACTAATGACAGAACAGCAACAAAACACAACTAATACTATGAAATATGAGACAAAATCATCATGACTCATCATGTTAGTCATGATGATTTTCTACACTCGGGTTGGGGTGCGGTTTGCGAGGGCTCACCGGCCGCCGGCCAGTGGTCGAGCCACGAGAGTTCCCTACACATAAACTGTCTGGAAATGATCGCGGTCGAGAACGCGCTGCTGTTTTTCCTCCCGCGCATACATGGTCACCACGTCCTGAATCGCTCCGACAATATGGCCGTGGTATCATACATCAACCGTCAGGGCGGCGTCAGATCCAAGAATCTCTTCCATCTGACACGCCGCATCCTATTGTGGTCCCAGAGTCATCTACTCTCGCTCAGAGCGACGCACGTACCGGGCCATCTGAACGACGGTCCAGACATGCTGTCCAGGAACCTGGTCTCCCCCGGAGAATGGTCCCTGCACTCTCAAACAGTCCAAACGCTGTGGCGCCTATTCGGCAGAGCGGAGATAGATCTTTTCGCGTCAGAAGAGAACACTCACTGCCCAATATTCTTCTCAAAAAGCGAGGATGCACTAGCCCAGGATTGGCCCCGCCGCCCGCTCTATGCTTTTCCCCCGATTTTTCTGCTACCACAGGTCATTCAGAGAATCAGGGACTCACGCCACTCGGTGCTCCTCATAGCCCCGCGCTGGGAGAATCAGATTTGGTTCCCGGAGCTTACGCGGCTGTCACAGACAGCCCCGTGGCCCATTCCAATCAGAGCAGATCTCCTCACTCAAGCCCGCGGCTCGATCTGGCATCCCCATCCACAGCGCTGGGCGCTTCATGCATGGGTGACCAACGACTACGCGTCGAATTGCCAGAAGGGGTTCTGAACACGATCAAACACGCCAGAGCGGATTCTACCAGAAAGCTCTATGCTGCAAAATGGTCTGTGTTCTCCAAATGGTGCACCGACAAAAACTTGGACCAACGGACGTGCGAGGTTTCATCTTTGCTCGTGTTCCTTCAGGAGATGCTGGATAAGGGCAGGTCCCCATCCACTCTTAAGGTTTACGTGGCAGCCGTCGCGGCGTTCGTTGAACCCCGGCGCGCCCAGTCTCTGGGCAAAGACGAGCTAATCATCCGCTTCCTCAGGGGAGCCAGAAGGATGAACCCCCCTCGCCCCCCTACGGTGCCGGTCTGGGATCTTTCTATAGTTCTAGAAGCTCTGAAAGCCCCACCGTTTGAACCACTCGAGTCCGTGGAGCTAAAATACCTCTCGCTAAAAACCGTTCTTCTGACGGCACTTGCCTCAGTAAAACGAGTGGGGGACATTCACGCGCTGTCTTCGAGCGCCGCGTGCCTGGAGTTTGGACCGAGTGACTCCATAGTCATTCTGAAACCTAGACACGGTTATGTTCCGAAAGTGATTGGTACCCCTTTCAGGGCGCAAGTGATCTCTCTATCGGCGCTGCCTGCATCCGATAGCGAACATGCCGCTGACCGCCTCTGCCCGGTTCGGGCTCTCAGAGTGTACACTACACGCGTTGCCGCGTTCAGACGCTCAGAGCAGCTGTTTGTGTCGTTCGGTGGCCGCAACTATGGCGCTCGCTTTGTGTCATTCGATTCCTAGCCAAGCTTAAAGACGTGTTAACGTGCGTGTGGAGAACGTCTGTACGTTTTAAAACTGCCTATCTGGACGTCTGCCCGTCTTAACGTCTGGAGCTAGGCTATCTCCATTCAGCTTTTTTTTTAATTATTAGCCTATTATTCAGCCAATGACTGAATGGCGATCCGTCTTAAGTTGTGGGTTTCTATCGTTGTTAGGACTATGTTGTAGCCTATAGCTCATTTCGTTTTCATATAAGGGGGCCAAGTATTTTTTTATGATCTGAGAAACAGACTTCTCACCAAAACAACGTAGGCCTATTATTACTGAAGTAGCTAGATAGTCCATCATACAAAACTAGACCACAGCATTATAGATATAATAATGTTTCAATGTTTCGTTTTGTGTAATAAAGCATATCCTATAGCATAGCCTATCTTTCTGACAGGGTGAACCAAGACGCTCTTCCCATTTAAAAACAAGTTTCAAGTTACTTTTCACGTGACTGTCCGCTCAATATCCGCTTCACATTTGTCTAAATATTACAATAGGCTTTTGTTATTTAATTTTCATTTATGTTGATTATGAACAGTGAACAGCATGAGTATGCAACATATAGGGTGCGATATGACGGGAGACAAGTGGTTCAGACATGATTTTGACCACTTCATTAAGTTTTGTTTTGTTGAAAGACTTTCTTTAAAGTGAATTTCGTTTTGTATCAATTATGCACGAGCATGCATGGGAATAGGCTATACAGGCTAATAATAATACAAAAAATATAGATATAGGCCTAGTAGAGTGGCAGTGGGTGGAATTATATTCTGAAATTCTATGTTATAAAAAAATCGTTATAACGAGTTGTAGCCTAAATCCCGAAATAAAGGAGCTCGGCCAAACAAATATGAAACCACTAAAAATAAATATAAAACCGCCAGTAGATGGCGGCAAGGCACTGTTCTATTGACATTACTGGTTAATGTTCAAACTATTCTTTCAAAAAAACAAAAAACAAAGAGGCTATATATTTAATATCCACAGAACTAATCCTTTAAGACAATTGCAATTGTTCTGCTGTGGTGATGTTTGGAACAATTTTTTTTTTTATTGTGTGAAATGTCATTACCATATAGTTTATTTACAGGCATTCTGGTTTTCTAATGATTTTTTCAAAAGCTAAAGACTGCTCATTACAGAAATATTAAAATAAATATTTACAAATGTGTTTGTTACTTGGTATTTTTTTCTCAACTTTTGGTCTCAATTGGCAGTTAATTTTCATATATTGCGGGTTGATATTTTCCTAATTATGTTACCCAGTTAAACATTATGTGAATTTAAAGTGACTGCGTTATACGTAAATTGAAATATAGCTAGCCTAAATATATATGCTGTTGTTGGTTCCAATGACATGCTACATTTTAATGTTTTAATGACAGCAAGCATTTCTTGGCTATAAATTTTGCATTTCACCAATGAAAGGTAAAGCATTAAATCAACCAATGATCAACCAGTTCTCTGAAGTAGCTCAGAGGTGCATCTCATGAAGCTTCATCTGGATATCTGGGAAATACTGAACAAGTACAATTTCATATCGACAACATCAATAAGCATTTTGAATATCTTGTTTGTGAGCAAATACACAAGGACTATTCAATGGTACTGATATGTTCATTGACATAAATACCACTTTTGAGAGATGAACTAAGGATTTGAGGAGGTACAGGCTTTTGCAGGCAATCCATGGACTGCTATTAATTATTTTGAGAAATGCATTTACTGGTTTGCAAAACTTAAGGATGATTCAAGAAACTACCAAAGTGACTGAGAAAAACTGTAAAATGACATTGAAGGCAGTATGTGCAAAGGGATTTAGTGAATGGATGAACATGATTTCATGAAGTACAATGTTCCTGAATCAACATCCTTTTTGATCATTGAGCAATATTACAACTAGATTTGAGGAATAAGTTTACAGTTAATGTCAATTTTCAGGATAGCTATAACCAGCAGTGTGAGGTTTACACAGCCTAAATGTTTGATTGTCGGCTATAGACAATTTATTTATTATCAGAGGAGTTTTCGCAGGAGTTCCATCAGTCGCTAAATAAAAAGAGCATACTTTGTTCTCTTTCTTTATAATCTATTCACACTTTAAATAAAATAGTTTTGTTTGTCATAAATGGAAAGAGTGAATCCAAACTGTTCTGTGGGTCAGTAATTTCCTATTTAGAAAGTGGAGATGGTCAAATAAATGCTGCTCTGCTGCCGCCTACTGATTAAAGTGTTCATCTCATCTTATTCTGTTTAAAGTGTTTGTTTTTCCTGCAGGTGAAAACTATGCAGCGTTTGCTCCTCTTACTGTATTTATATGGGCTGTCAACTGTTTTGCCTGACTTGGGCGAGATTTTTGTATGCTCTCAACGGTAGCAAAAAATGTGTAGTATGACTAGACGACATTTATAGGCTTTATAAAAACTTTAGTGTTGTAGCTCTATTAAATAGTACATTTATGTTAAAACATTTTTAATTTGAATGATTAATTACTTGTTCAGAATAAGAATAGCAGTAGCCTGATCCAAGCAATCACAGGCTAACTAATTTTAGTTTAAAATCCAATAAACTCTAAAATGGTTTCTGGTTAATTAATGCTGGATGCATGAGTGAACTCGAGGCATGCAGACTGTTGCTGGCTTGCTGCAGAGCATTAACACATCTGAAACACACTAATATATAATGATAAGACTCAGTTTTTCTGAATTTTTTTTAGCCCATTTTATTTTTTTTTATCTCTGAAGATCGAATAATCAAAATACATGCCATAGACTTTTATTAAAAAGTTACATCTATCATTGGGATACCAAATGTATGGTACATTACCAGACATTCAGCATTATAAAAATAAGTGTATCATAGTCCTACATAAAATGTGCCAAAATAAGTCTTGTTTGTAAACTTAGATTGTGGCAGACGTGCAGACGTTCAGACGGGCAGACGTTCAGACGTGCAGACGTTCAGACGGGCAGACGTGCAGACGTAATCCACACGTTAAACTTTTAACGTGACTCCGCCGTGACGTCTGCATAGATCAACAGCTACACGTTATTGACGCGTCTACGCGACGTGATATTTGCGTGTACGTCTCCATATAAAACAAATGGAGACGTACACGCACGTATTCACGTGTGTTATCTGTCTTGCTTGTCAGTCTCGTCGCCGAATGGAACATTCCGAGCGCCATAGCAACAAGGGGTTAGCCACCTCGAAACAGACTCTATCCAGGTGGATAGTAGACGCGATTGCCTCTGCTTACGCCGCTAAAGACCTGCCTTGCCCTCTGGGCATCAGGGCTCATTCCACCAGAGGCATGGCCTCATCGTGGGCATGGTCCTGCGGGATTTCCATCCACGACATTTGTGTGGCTGCGGGATGGGCCTCCCCCTCCACTTTTGTCAGATTTTATAACTTGGAAGTTCCAGCCTTACAGGCTAAAATTCTGGCGGTCTAGTACTCACAGCCCTCCTATAGAAAGCCGCACTATCGGGAGTTCCATCACAACCGGCTCACCCCTTGTGTTCCCCTATGTGCTTATGCATTACACGTTCACGGCCCGCTATGCCGGCCGCCTTAGGGCGTTTTTGCACTAGATGATAACGGCCGCCATGCTGGCCGCCTTATTATCTTCATCCACTTAAAGATTCCCCCGGTGTTTCCCCCCCCTGGGATGCTTAGTGGTTACTTAGCACGCACGGCGTTGACCAGGTGTTCCCGTAGCGTAAGCTAGCTTACGCAATACGAGAGAACCTCTCGTAAGAGAACGAATCGGTTACCTAACGTAACTTCGGTTCTCTCTAGATGAGGGAACGAGTATTGCGTTCCCGGCCGTGCTTGCGCCACCAGCGTTTCGCTTCATGCTACAGAATCGACGAACTAGTCTGGGAGAGCTACCTTTATACACTGTAGCCACACCCCTTTTGGCGGGCTGTGACGCAGTGAGCGAGCGCCTTCCGCTCATTGGGCGCGGACTCAGCGCCGCTCTCCCATAGGTTCGTGCATTCTCTCTGAGCGAACCAATGAGCCGCTAGCTAGCCCGCTCACGGTCTGCCTCAGAAGAGACTGCGTTGACAATGATTACAAAATTATGGAATAATTTTTTGGCTTCAACTTCTCAGCAAAGATGAATCTTTCCCGTAGCGTAAGCTAGCTTACGCAATACTCGTTCCCTCATCTAGAGAGAACCGAGGTTACGTTAGGTAACCGATTCGTTTGTCCATAACGAACACCATGTTCAAGCATAAGGGTGTCCACCAGTGCACGTGGCACCAGGACACCCTAGGTCGTAGGTAGATGATTGACTTTGTGGTCATTTCATCTGACCTGCGGCCGTATGTCTTGGACACTCGGGTGAAGAGAGGGGCGGAGCTGTCAACTGATCACCACCTGGTGGTGAGTTGGATCCGATGGCGGGGGAGGAGGCTGGACAGACTTGGCAGACCCAAGCGTACTGTAAGGGTTTGCTGGGAATCTCCTGTCAGAAAGATCTTCAACTCTCACCTCCGGCAGAGCTACGACCAGATCCCGAGGGAGGCTGGAGATATTGAGTCTGAGTGGACCATGTTCTCCACCTCCATTGTCGAAGCGGCTGCTCGGAGCTGTGGCCGTAAGGTCTCCGGTGCCTGTCGAGGCGGCAATCCCCGAACCCGGTGGTGGACACCGGAAGTAAAGCATGCCGTCAAGCTGAAGAAGGAGTCCTATCAGGACTATTTTAGGTTAAAAAAACATTTAGCCCAATCAGCTGCTAAACTGGGTTGTTTCTAACCCAGCAGTTTTTACCACAGTATATTATTGAACTGTATTATGCTACTTTGGCTCATGACCTCATCACATTGCATGTTTAAGTCAGTAATATTTTTACACTCTTAAATTATGTAAGATTTATAAATATTGCACAAGCTGTAATTCTGTGACATGTACATAGAAAATAAAAGTATAAGTAATACGTATTATAGACTCAGTTTACATGTGTGGCATTCTATACCCAGTCTTTTAGTTTATACAAAGTTTATCTGTATATAGTCTATCAATAAATAAAAAAATGTTTGTAATCAATACAAACTTCCAACAAACTAGATATTTCATTTTTAATACAGTGTTTGTCTCATAAGGAGGTTTTGAGTTCATAAACACTAACATTGATCATGATACCATGATTCTGTTTTAATCAATATTTACTCATCTGTGTATTAATACAGGAAAACCTGTAGTGACGGTGACGCCAGATCAGCCTGTGTTCAGTGGAGAGAGAGTCACTCTCAGATGTGTCATACAGGGAGGAGGAAACATTCAGTGGAGATACAGATGGATTAGAGATGGAAACACTGGCTATCCATATACAACAACAACAGCAGATTACCGTTTCACAGCTGATGCGTCTCGCAGTGGTGAATACAGTTGTAGAGGAGAGAGATCAGACTCACACACAGACTTCAGTGATGCTGTTACACTGACTGTATCAGGTGAATCTTCATATAATTCACATCTGTTTAATCATCATTTAATATCCATATTTCAACACTTATGATCTTCTGTATCCGCCACGTCTGTTCTTATAAGAAATTCACTTTTAGTCATGATTGTCTTCAGATGAAGTGCATGTCGTGTTTGTCGTGTGTGTGTGTGTGTGTTGCACATTTATATCAGGATACTTTTATAAAATCATGTAAATTGTGACTTTCCATTGTTAAAGACGTCTCCATCTTTGAGATTTACTTTAGTCACTGTTAGTTTGGTTACAGGAGATATTTAATAATAGAAAAGATGAGATTTGTCCGAGAGAATGACGTGACTTACAGACACTGATGTGAAATGAGTTGATGAAGTCTTCAGATATTCTGATGAAGTTGATTCAGACTCAGTATCTCCTCATATGAGCTTTAGTTGGAGATCTTCATCTCTCCTTCAGGAGCTTCATTCTGCTTTCTGTGGCGAGTCAGAGCCTCAAAACAACTGACATGACCAAACTAATGACAGAACAGCAACAAAACACAACTAATACTATGAAATATGAGACAAAATCATCATGACTCATCATGTTAGTCTGCCTGAATCAGCTTCAACATCAATATTAGAATATATTAGAATATGTTTCTTCTCTAAAAGATCTTAATTTAAAGGAAAAGACGATTCCTCCTGATGTCAGTAATATGTAAATATCAGAGGAGTGAAACTCGATCACTTCTAGTGTGAAACGGCAGCGAGACGTCAAGAATAATCCTGTGTTCAGAAGATACATGAAGGACACATGGAGTCCCGTCTCAAACAATATCAAAGATGTGGGAACAGAAGGCTTTACTTTCATTGTTATCCTCAATTTACTTTTAAGACTAAACTTCATTTACATGTAGAGCTGGAGGAAGAATGTAATACAGTATATAATGTTTGAGCAGAGATTATTCTGGGTTTATTCTGACTCTGATGAACGCAGGAGCTTTAATGCACTTTGTTACTGTTGCTGCAATAACACTTCATCATTGAGATCTTCAACATCCTCGAAACATGTATATAATATAATTCTGTTACAATCCACTGAAAGAGATGTTTGAGTCAATTTGTGTTTCTGTGTTTCTTCTCAGATTTACCCACATCTACAGTGACTGTGACACCAGCCGGTCCTGTATTCACTGGAGAAACAGTCAATCTGAAGTGTGTGATTAAACCTTATTACAGTAACTGGAGATATGAGTGGTATAAAGACAGTGTAAAGTTACAGACGTCTGATCGTTACACTGTAAACAGAGACACTGTCACTATCAGAGGAGCTACTGAGTCTGATCAGGGTTGGTACGAGTGTAAAGCACAGATATATGGAAGACCAAACTCATCAACATCAAGATCTGCTGTTTATCTCTCTGTGAAGGGTGAGTTCAACATCATTGTCCTCCAAGTTTTTTAATAAACATAAAACATTTTTATATGTATTTTTATTTATTTATTGCTGCTTGCACTTTCTGAGAATTTCTGAGTTTTTATACAAATGCAGCTTTGGTTTTCAGAAGTTTCATCGTTTTGAATCTGATTATGATTTACAGTTCATGAAACATTAGATTTAAGAAGTATTTTATCTGACACTCACTCCAAAGTTTCAACATTAGCTCACCTGAGAATGAAAACTGTCATCATTTAATCTCACACACCCTCTCATTAGAACAAAACTGAACCATTTTTTAATGTAGTTGGAGACAAACAATGATTTGTGTAACACAGGTGAACTCTGACTCTGGAGGATCTGAATCTGTTGTTGTTCTCCTGCAGATCTACAGCCGAAGCCTGAACTCACATCAGATCCTGCAGGAGCTGCACTGACTGGAAACACAGTGACTTTGACCTGTCGCATGAATCCTTCCACTGGACACTGGGACTCTTACTGGTACAAACACACACTGAACCCCGAGACAGAGAAGACACAAACACACTCCTACAGCCTGAAGATTGATTCAGTGTCTGATGGAGGCCAGTACTGGTGTAGAGCTGGAAGAGGGAAACCAGTCTATTACACACAATACAGTGATGCACTGTGGGTAAATGTTACAGGTGAGAGAGACTGTAGTGTGTGATGCAACAAATACAGATCAGAGACAATATCTACACAACTTCTGAAACTATAAATGCAATAATCTGTGTTTGTAGTGTTTCCTAAAGCTGTGGTGACGGTACGACCTGATGAACGAGTGTTTAGAGGAAAAACAGTCACTCTCAGATGTGATATAAAGTGGGCAGGAGACACTGAGTGGACATACAGATGGGAAATAGAGGGAACCAACAACTGGGATAGAAACTCTACCAGTCGATGTACAGAACAACACTGCTGCACTGGAGCTGATAAACAGACACACAGAAATGCTGTCAGTCGGTGCTCAACACAAGAGTTGATCATCAGCAGTGTCGATCTCTTTCACAGCGGTCAATACAGTTGTAGAGGAGAGAGATCAGACTCACGATCACGCATCAGTGATGGAGTTACACTGACAGTATCAGGTGAGTGTGTGTGTGTGTGTGTGATCAGCTTCTCCATCAGTTTCTCTACGGCTTGTGCTCATCCGCATCTGTGTTTCACTGCAGTCTCTGTGCTGTCAGTTCTGATGGAGATTTTCCTCTTTTCAGGAGTTTCTGCTTCAGTGTCTCTGGTCATCGATCCCAGCAGAAGTCAACACTTCTCATCTCAGTCTCTCTCTCTGAGCTGTGTGGATCAGAGTAACTCTGCTGGATGGACAGTGAGAAGATACACAGACACACACACACAAACCTGTGCCAAACAAACAGGATCTGGATGTGTAATCGACTCTCTCAGCACATCTGACTCTGGAGTGTACTGGTGTGAGTCTGAATCTGGAGAGAAACGCCGTCCTCGAAACATCACTGTACACGGTGAGTCCGGTTTAATCATGAGATCGGGTTTGTAGATTTGAACATCATGCTTTTCCCCGTTATGGTTGAATCACAGAAGCTACACCAGTTACTTTACCAAGAGATCTCTTATTTATTATTTTTACACAAAAAAAAAAAAAAAAATATTTTATTATTTTGAGAGGAAGGTTACAGGCGAGGTCGTCTTCATCCCAGATTTCTCAGTTCTCCATTTCTCTGTTCTTTCTCCCCATCTCTCAACCCATTATGCCTTTATGTGTTTCTCTGGGGTTACACAATAATGATTGAGCTTATATTCACAACTGAGGGACTTACAACTTCCTCGTAAGGTAGCAAAACATGTTGCTTATGTTTAAAATGTAACGTATGCCTCATGCTTACACACGGTATGATCCAATTTCCATATTAAGAAACGGTCTATCGGTGTGTACATGTGTGGTACATTTGCATCAGTTAAAAATCATTCATTTCCTTATAAAGAAAAGGCCAACTGAACACAGTAAAGTACATCATCAGTGGAAAACCTTTGCTCAGTGAATACTGTATGTTGTTTACCAAAATATATCTCATCCCAAATCTCTTCTTAGCTTACAGCAAACAATCTCTGACTTCACAAAATACATTATGAGATTAATAAAGATATATAAAACTAGAAAAAAACAATACATTTTTATTCTTCATTAATATAAAAAGCTCAGGAAGGAAGTACGAAGTATAATCAATTCATCATCAATATATGATGTTTTACTAACAAAGTTCGGGAGGAGCATGTTCAGAATTAAACACAGGTGGAGCACATTCAGGTAATCAAGCCTAATTAGACACGAGTGGAGCGCATTCCCAATCAATGAAGTAAGAGGTATATATACAGCAAACTTAACTCAGTTCATTGTAGGGATGCACCGATACCGATACCGGTATCTGGTATCGGCCTCGATACCACATTTTCTAAAGTACTCGTACTCATTAAAAGTCCCCCGATACCGGGGACCGATACCATGTTCTGAGAAATGGGTTAATCACAGGCGCCGAGAGTGCCCACCACCAGGCTCCGGCTGCAGCTCAGAGCGGGGAGATGGGGAGACATGTCAGCCGTGTGGAACAGTGATGCGCGGGTCAATGTATAAACAACCCGCACACTACCAACGTTTTCAACTACCCGCCCGCTACTCGGACCGCAAAAAAAGTAAGAAAATATTGTACCCGACCCTCTTCCTGACCGTATTTTTTAAAAGTAGTACATGCTCATCGTAGCGTCATTGGGCCATAAACGTGTAACAACACAGCATCGCAAGAAGACGTAGCCTACATCATCTTTCATTATTTCGGTAAATGTCTCCCACACTTACTCTTTCTATTTGTGTATTTGCGGAGCTTCCACTCCCCAGTCTTCACCTTTTCTCTTGCCGCCTCCATCTCTCTGCAGACTAGTGATCATAGACATGGCCGGTTCGTGAACGAATCGGTTCTTTTTAATGAACCGGTCGAACCAGTACGCTAAATCGAACTGAATCATTCGCATCAGTTCACGTCTTGCGTCAGTGCTGATCCACAAGTTACTACAGTTACTCACTTTCAGACATGCCTGACAGTCCCTCCGAGTTGAAATAAACCAATATCCCGAATTATATTTTACTCCAGTAACTCTAACAGTTCACTGAACTGAGACATGTTGTTGTTGATACTGCTGATACTGCGCATCCGCGTATAGTAACGAACGCAGAGGTACAGCGGTTCTCGGATCACACCAGTACAGAACTGAGAACTGTTTAGACTGAGCTTGTGTGTCATCTTCGTGCCAGTTATTCAGCCAATAAATAAATTCGGCCTATATATTTCATAGAAAATTCTATCTAGTACTATATAAATACAAAGGTTTAATTGGCATTTTTTTCCAAACGACCTGACCGACCGCGACCCGAATATCATTAAAAATATTTTTGGATGACCCGTAACTGCGGGTGACCGCGGCGCAGGCACCCGCTCATTTTGGATCAACCCGTGCATCACTGGTGTGGAACAATTTCAAAGTGAATGGCTTTGGATTAGGAGAATAAGTTTACTTGTAGTCGTCAAGTTACTTATAGTCAGTTGAATGTCTGTTGGGGGACCAAATAAATAAAGTGTTATCAGATATTAAGCTGATCGTACTAATACTCTAGTCTACTAATACTCTAATGACAGTTAGTTGACATGTAATTGAAAAGTTACTTATAGTTAGTAAAGTGGACTATCGAAATAAAGTGTTACCCAAGTAATTTAATCAAGGACCTAAAAACCCGTATATAAAAATATTTAAATCATGTTTTTTTTGTTTTTTTATTAAGTACTCGGTATCGGTATCGGCGAGTACTGAAATGCAAGTACTCGTACTCGTACTCGTTTTCCAAAAAAGTGGTATCGGTGCATCCCTAGTTCATTGACAGTCTAACAGCATATTGGTTCGACCTTTTTGCTACCATGTCTCAACTCCAGCTTTTCCCAACCGATGATGAATCCAACTTCTCACCGGATCCTCAGCCAGAATCAGCTGACCCAAGGACCACTCCTTCTCCGCCCAACATTTCAACTGATCCCAAGGCTTCTCCACGCGGCCGCCTGCCTACCCGAACAGCTACACGCTCGCCTAGACGCAGAGGCCAGCCCTCGCCTCCACCAGCGAGACATCACAATCCCTCCCCTGCTTCTTCCTATCGCTCGGCAGTCCCAACAATTCCACCAATTGCAAAGTGGACAGTTCTTAGATTGAGGCAAGCGCTGATAAATTCGGATGTTCAGTTCTCGCGAAGGATTAACAAAGCGGAACTATATGCCCTCTATGTATCCTTGCAATCAACTAACCTCTCTCCGAAGTCCATGCCGGCCCCGAAAAGGACCAGCAGGCAAAGTAAAGCTCAGGATTCACCTCGCTGGACAACACCACCATCCCAGCGTACTAAATCTAGTTCTCTTCCAGCATCAAACCGCAGCGAAAGGCCTTCAGCAAGCTTGGGCCGCGCCCCAGTTCCTTCTGCCGTCAGACCTCGCCAGCAGGCTGCAGCTTTGGCTGGAACCAGGCCCGCCGACCTCCCCTCAGCATATCAGAACATGGCTCCTGCTGTTCCTAATAATCCTTTTTCTTTTCAGTGGCCTCCAGCACCGGTCCCAGATGCTAGCGTGAGGCTGCCTCCGCTAGAAATGGAAGCCCAATCATTTCAACATAGTTTTGCAACAGCTACTAATCCCTCTTCTTTTCAGTGGCCTCCAGCACCTGTCCCAGATGCTAGCGTGAGGCTGCCTCCGCTAGCATTGGAGGCCCAATCATTTCAACCTGCTTTCGCAACAGCTACTAATCCCTCTTCTTTTCAGTGGCCAGCAGCTCCAGTAGCTCAAGCAAGCGTGAGGCTGCCTCCGCTTGCAGCACGAGCCCACTCTTCCCAGTTTCAACCTTCCTTTCCTTCTCATACTTTTAACCCTCTTCCCCAAGCCCCAGAGGCCGATTCAAGCGTGAGGCTGCCTCCGCTGACAATTGCAGCCCCGGCTTTGGTTCCTTTCAGCTCTCTTCTCCAGGCAAAATCTCAGCACTCTCTCTTCACAGCAACCCAGATGCCCGTCCCATCGAACGCCGTTGCTGCGGAGCCACCCCCAGTGTCCCACAACATCCGAGCACAGATCCTGTCAGAAATTCAGGACGCTGTCTCCAGAGGCAGACCAATTCCCAACTCCAGTACCTCACTATTCAGAACTAATATTCCCGTAACCCACCCCCTAAAACAACTCCTCGACGCATCACTGGACACCATCCTCCAAGCAGTTTCTTCCAGGACCCTCCAATCTTATGTGACAGCTTGGAGGTGTTTTAAAGAATTCCACTTCTCATACAACTTGCCATTCCCTGATTTTTCTCTCCTTTCAATCACCTCATTCATCTCCTACCTTAACAGCATTAAGGGCCTTCAAGTTGGATCCATCAAAGGTTACCTGAGCGGCATCCAGTTTTTCCATAAATTGATGTACGGCGCTCCCTCTCCAGAGATAAATAATTCACAGACCTCCCTTCTGGTCAAAGGAATTCAACGATCCCATCCCACCCATCCTGACACCAGACAACCCATAACACTAGATATTCTCACAAAATGTATTCATGCCCTCCGCACAGTCTACCAGCCTCTCGAGACAGCCCGCACACTCGATGCTATGTTTATTCTAGCCTTTTTTGGCTTTCTTAGATGCTCGGAACTCGCCATCACTTCCAAATTCGACCCAAGAGTCCACCCCACCATCTCAGACTTAGCAGTACTGGATAGTGAAACCATCTCATACTTAATTAAGCAAAGCAAGACAGACCAATCCAAAAAAGGCCATTTCATCTACATCTTCAAACTCTCATCGCCAATCCAACCATACCAATCCATTCAGGCATATCTTCAGTGGAGAAGCTCCCAGGCTAAATCCCCTCTTGATCCCCTATTTTTAGATGACTTCAACAAACCTGTGACACGCTTTTGGTTCCAGAAACATCTCAAACTCGTTCTTCAACAGTCAGGCATCCAAGCAAAACATTTCTCCAGTCACTCTTTCCGCATCGGAGCAGCAACCTCAGCAGCCCAAAAAGGCCTCTCCCAGCAGCAGATCCAAGCTCTCGGAAGATGATCCTCAGACGCTTTCCAAAGCTACATCAGGACCAACCGGTTCCACATAAAAAAGCCCACCAAACCCTCATCGAATAAAACCCTCCGGGTCGTCCACCTGGGTGCTCTTCCTTCATCCAGTGATCTAGTTCCCAGCAGACGAAGCAAAAACTCTCCCTGTAGAAGACTTATATTATCTTTTTCTCCGTCCAGCAAGCATTTGCTGTCCAGCGAGCATTGGTCTTCCAGCGGACATTGCATGCATCTATGTTTCCTCTTTTTCTGTCCAGCGAGCATTGGTCTCCCAGCGGACATTGCATAATCCTGTCCAGCGAGCATTGGTCTCCCAGCGGACATTGCAGGCATCTATGTTTCCTCTCTTTCTGTCCAGTGAGCATTGGTCTCCCAGCGGACATTGCAGGCAGCTGTTTCCTCTTTTCTGTCCAGCGAGCATTGGTCTCCCAGCGGACATTGCATGATTCTGTCCAGCGAGCATTGGTCTTCCAGCGGACATTGCAGGCATCTATGTTTCCTCTCTTTCTGTCCAGTGAGCATTGGTCTCCAGCGGACATTGCATGATTCTGTCCAGCGAGCATTGGTCTCCCAGCGGACATTGCAAGCATCTAAGTTTACTTTTTCTGTCCAGCGAGCATTGGTCTCCCAGCGGACATTGCAGGCATCTATGTTTCCTCTCTTTCTGTCCAGTGAGCATTGGTCTCCCAGCGGACATTGCAGGCATCTATGTTTCCTCTCTTTCTGTCCAGTGAGCATTGGTCTCCCAGCGGACATTGCAGGCAGCTGTTTCCTCTTTTCTGTCCAGCGAGCATTGGTCTCCCAGCGGACATTGCATGATTCTGTCCAGTGAGCATTGGTCTTCCAGCGGACATTGCAGGCATCTATGTTTCCTCTCTTTCTGTCCAGTGAGCATTGGTCTCCAGCGGACATTGCATGATTCTGTCCAGCGAGCATTGGTCTCCCAGCGGACATTGCAAGCATCTAAGTTTACTTTTTCTGTCCAGTGAGCATTGGTCTCCCAGCGGACATTGCATGCATCTATGTTTCCTCTTTTTCTGCCAAGCGAGCATTGGTCTCCAAGCGGATATGGCATTCATCTATGTTTCTCTTTTACATCTAACAGGTATCAATTTCCCAGCGGTCCGCAAGAAATCTCCAGTCTGGGCTTCCAAAACACTCCACCGTCAGCCGGTAGGGCCCATCAGCCCGACGCCGTGAGCTGCTCCCGTCGGAAGCTACATGGGCCCTCCTGGTTGGGCATCCCCAAATCTTGTCACCCCTCATTCGTCAACCAGTAGGGCCCGTCCGCCCAGCGCAGTAAGCTGCTTCCGCCAGAGGCAACACGGGCCCTCCTGGTCAGGCGGCATAAATCAAACTGTTCCTCATCCATAGGCCAGTAAGGGCTTGCCCGTTCGACGCAGTAAGATGCGCTCGCTAAGAACGGTGCAATTCAAAGGGACCCAGCCCGCCAAAATTCTGCGTTTTGGGGGGTCTTTAGTCTGGCGGCTGTCCTTTGCCTTTTGCTTTTGGGGGAGCACTCTGGGTTCGGGCAAAAATTCCGAGCTCGGAGCCCTCCCCCTGGACAGCACGCCAAATACGCATAATCTTTACTCTGTTTAATTGATGTAAATGTGAACTCGTGAATTTTCTTATGTATTGTTTTGCTATATTCTTCTATTAAACGCACATATCTCGTGTTTGTAGACGGTGAGGTGATTCTGGAGAGTTCTGTTGATCCTGTGATTGAGGGAGAGACTCTGACTCTACACTGTTTACATCGATCTACAAACTCCTCGATCTCCAGCGCTGATTTCTATAAAGACGGATCACTGATCCAGAATCAGACGACAGGAGAGATGAGCATCACTACTGTCTCAAAGTCACATGAGGGTTTCTACTCCTGTAAAACAGAGAGAGGACAGTCTCTCCACAGCTGGATCTCAGTCACTGAAGCCTTTAATGGTGAGATGATTTAATGAGAAACGCCACACCATTATTATATACTATTATATATTACTCAGTGTCTGTCTCTTATTTCTGCTGGAACAAAATCCGTTATTGACGTCCGTGTTTATTGTTTCACATAACTCACACGAACGAAAGCATAACCATCACATCCCTGGCAAAATATACTTGTCATGTTTGCTTGAGATACAAAAGCTGAGGATTTAAATGCAGTATTTATTGAAATGTCAATCCACAATTGCAGTCCAAAGATAGGAAAAGGTCATACACACACAAACAATAACCGAGTTCAGGTCTGAGGCTCAGAAATGCAGATAAAACACACTTAATATTTAGTAATGAAATATTGAATTGTCCAGGCTTATAAAGGTGAGCTAACAGGGTTAATGAGACACAGCTGAAAACAATGAGCGCTGATGAGTCCGGGCAAAGGATTATGGGTAATGAAGGCCCTCTGGTGGCTATCAAGGGCACTCCAGCTGGTGATCGTGACAATACTGACATTTTGTGAAAACAACACTTTATAAATAATATTCAATGAAGTCTAGAGTATTTCGGCATTATAATAAAATCAAATCAAACTTGTTCGCCTCTTTACTATCAACATCTGACTTTGAATAAATTATTTATTCATTATTCATTTGAAAGCAGCAAGGAATAAATCTGATGTGATCTGATCATATGTGTTCAGTGTCAAACATAAAGTTTTGTTCTGAAGAAGAGAATGTTTTAAAATGAATAACTTCATTTATTAATACACTATTATGTCATCATTTACTCACCCTAATGGCAGTCCAAACATGTATTCCTTTTTTTCTTCTGTGGAACATAAGCAGTTATTTGGAAGAATTAAAAGAGAAAAGAAAAAAACAACATATATTTTAAAAAACAAAATATATTTTATGTTTCACACAAGAAAGAAGTCTGTACAGGTTTGAACAACATGAAAGCTCTGTAATGATGGTCAATAATGTTCTTGTGTTTCTGTTTTCCAGGTCAGATTTCTGTCCTCAAAATCCTCAGTTTTCTTCTGGCAGCTTCTCCGTATCTGTTAGCGACAGTCGTGCTGCTTTTCAAATGTTACAGAGCGAGAGGTAAAACTTCTGTCACACACTCACACACACACACACACACACACACACACTCTCTGTCTCTCAAAAGCAATAACAGAAGTGATTTTTTTACTTTAAGACATGTCCGTTTAACCCTCAGGTGCTCTTCGTTTCGGAGTCACACTTGTTATCTTCCCGGTCAAAAGTGACCGGACACCTAAAAATTAAATGTCCTCCATCCCAGTAAAACCAATGCAATTAATTTTTGTTCTATAATATTTAATCTTTCTAATTTAGTATTTTGAGACAATTTGATTGAATTTATTAATATTTATGCAATATTTATGGTCTATTTTTGCCATGGAAAATATATATTTTTTTTTCTATATATATTGTATTTTTTTCAAAAATTATTAATGCAGTATTTTAGTTTAATTTAGAGTCTAGACCTTCAGAAAAAAAATAATAATTTTTGATGAAAATTAGCACCATCTGGTTACAGTATAGAAAAAAAGCGTAGAATCATGGTGTAACCACTAGATGGCATGCACAGCTCTCTATGGAGAAGCATGTGAATTCCCCAGATGAATTTTTTTGGTGGATTTTAATATATGGTTGAAACAATCTCAAAAACGATTTTTATTTAAAAAATGTAAAAAATAAAAATAAAAAAAAATTTGTGAATTTTTGTGTTTATGTCAATTTCGCATTCATTTCCTATAGGGGTCATTTTGACCGAAGACCACAAGTGTGACTATTTTTTTTTTTACGACCACTTAGCATGCTCAGATCATGACCTCAATTTTTTGTGTGTTCACATACATAATGCCATAAAAGTCACCAAGTTTCGTAACGTTACGATGAAGCGGTGATTTTTAAAATTTCAAAACAGAATTTTTTTCTGTCAGAAATGACCGAAGACCACCTGATGGTTAAATGTTGAAAATGTTTGTGTGTGTATTTCACAGTTTCAACTGCTGAAGACCAAAGTCAGTACGCCGTAACAGAGGACGACGGTTTCTGAAATGAACCTGTTTGCAGGGCCAGCGCCACTGGGGGGCGTGAGTCAACGGGACTCTCCCGCCCCCTCAGATCACAATGAATGTTAACGGGATTTTACTGATAAAATACGTTATTTAAAAATCCTGTTTTGCCAATTACATTTTCACATTTCCTTATTTTTGTGAATATTAAGCTAAATCATTAATATTGCAGTTAACCCTTCCACACATATAAACCTGTGAAAACTATATATTTGTCATAACCTTAAACTGTAAAAGAAAAAAATGTTGTGTATGTGTGTTGTTGTGTTTGTTCTTTCAATAGCTTAATGATATTGTGTGGCATTGCTTGTTCTAGATCACTCGTCTGAGTAATTAGTAAAGATGCATAATGTAATTGAATTTTTATTATTTGAAATGTATCTCTTGAAACATATATTTGTTTGTGTGTGTTCTTTATAATATAGATGTGTTAAAGAAACTGCAAGATGCATTATCTCCTATGCAAATGGGACGTGTGTAAAAGGACAGAATGTTCTGTTCTTCTCAGAAATAGATACGTTTGCTTGCACCAAGAGCAAAACATGTATTTAGTTGTATTTGAAATGACATGTGTGTGTTTACGTGTGGGTATACATGAGAAGTGTTAGAATATAGGGAACTGAGAACTGTGTATGTGCAAGGGGCCTTAGTCCGAAGATAAGGAGGGGAGGTGTACATTTCGGAGGATGATCTTTTTAGTATAAACTGTGTAAGATGAGAAGATGTTTGTCTTGTCTGTGTGTGAACTGCCTTTCTAGCAAGAAATAAATACACTTATGGATTTCCAGATCTTCATTTGTTCTTCAATTATTATTTAAGATTTAGGCAAATAATTTCCACAACAGTACATAGCTTTATTCTGTATCAAATGTTCTGTATAAACGAATAACTAAATAAATAAGTGTGGATTTTTAATTATTTGAATTTGCTTTTTTGAACAATTGTTAGAACCATGATCAAACTCAAATGCCTTTATATTTCTAGTAATCCTGAAGATTTTGATTAGTTTGTTCATGTGTTTTTCATTCTATGGTTTGAGCTAAACTCTGTAGGAAAGTGGATCTCGAGGGCCAGAGATGCTCACTGGTTTATTATGTTACATCAATTTTCTTTAAAGTGTTATATGGGACCCAGGTTACTAAAAATCTTATTGAAGCTGAAAAGGGAGAAAGAAGAAAAAAAAAAAAGAAAAGAAAAAAAGAGAACTATAACATCCATATGTAAAAGTTATTTTATTTTACCTGTGAAGAGAAAATAAGAAAATGCATACATTAAAAAAAATAAAACTCATTCAGGTTAGTTATTTAATTAAATAAGTAGAATATTGGCCCAATTAGATGAGTAGAAGTTTAGCCCCGGCCTAATGGGTGGAGTCAGGAGGGATGGGAATAAATGTTTTTTTTAGACCAGACGATCCTGAAAAAGAAAAGAAAAAAATAGAATTAGAATGAACAAAACTAACAGTTTTATTAGACAAAACCAATATTTTGAGGTAAAATTGTGGATTGAAGGTGATCACGTGTGAATGTTAGTGCAAATGCTACAGAGGAGAAAAATATTTCTTATAGTTTGGAGTTTTGCCTTTCTGGAAACTTTATAATTGAAAATCGAATACTCTCGGTAAGTGAAGTAAATAAGTTCTCAGTTAATGAAGTTTTTTGTGTGTGTAAATGTTGGTAAATGGTGTTCAAATATTAAATGCTGATACTGTAACTAACTCTAAAGAAAAGTGTAAATAATAATTTCAGAGCTTTATTTTATTATTTCCTCTGTTAATATTAAGAGACTTTTATTTTGGCGCTTCCTAGTGGAACGTTAATTTCGCGTCTAAAAAGGTGAGACTAGTTAGTCAGACGCACCCACGGAAGTAAGAAGGAAAAGCACATTTCGGTCTGAAATTGTATAAAGCTCTAAAAGGATAATTTAAGCACCTAGCTGGAACGGGAACAAGGTATTGTGTGTTTAACTTGTTTAATGGTTATGTGCAGTAATATGAAGGTTAATCCATTTAATCTGTGAAGAAGTGTTTAAATGTATTATTTTCTCTCGTGACATGTAAACTCAAGCTAACGCAAGGTTTTTAGCATTGTTAATACACAAGTAATGTCACGGAAAATGTCTTTTATAAATGACTGTTTGTACGGTTAATTTGGCCTTCGGGTATTGTTTATGTTTGTACGAGCTCATTTTATGTTATCTGTCCTGTAGCTCTTACGTTGTTTCAAGAAGAAAGGTTGAAAGGAAAGTAGATTTGTGTAACCAAGGCTGACGGCTGAACATAAATAAAGGCTTCTGGAAACATCAGTACGCTTCACCATTGTCTGGCTGGGGGATACAGCTGTAGGCTAGAAACATAAAGTGAATCTTCTGTTCCAAATAGAGAAGAATATTATGTGAATGTGGTAAATAACTAATGTTTTAGAGTTTACGTCTACTTTGAGGAGTTTATAAGTGCTGTTTTAATTGTTTACATTGAGCTTCTAGTTAATGCTGACGCACATGTGATACCGGCAGGTGAGGCTTACCTGCATTATTTGAAATGTCATTTGCACATTTATGAAATATCAATGAGTTAATGTTGGATAAAGGTGGTGAAATATGTTGGAAGTTGCTCTATTTGCAGATTAACTGTTGTAATGATGGATATTTTGGAAAGGGATGTCTAATTGCATTTCTATCCTTGTCTTTTGTAAGGTTGGGTCTTTTTCTTTCGCCTTTATTCCTTTTTTGTGTCCTTTTGTAATGCTGCCCACTTTTAGGACACTAGACGATTTCAGAGGAAGATTTTGAACTTGAAATGTCCTTGCGCCCCCGCGCTGTATACGAACACAAAAGCAAAAAGATGAAGAATGCAAATGCAACAACATCAAGAGCAAGAGTGGAGTCGTTCACATGGACCGATGATGAAGTCGAACTTCTACTCAGAGTTGCACTCGCCTACAAGTACACTAAACCAAGAAAATGTTGATTGGGAGTCATGTCACATATATTCTGATTTAATGGACGGGCTTCAGGCTCAGTATCCGAGGGAGCTAACCGAGAAGGATTTCCCTCACTATCCTAGCATGGTCTCAAAAGCCCAAGTAGTTCAAAAATAAATGTAGCAAATACAGGCATGCAGTGGACACAGGGTGTGGAAGTGGCCAAGGACGGGTAGTGCTCATATTTTTTGAGCTTTGCTTGGAGATCTGGGGTGGGTCGCCTGCTACAGTCTCCATCGACGCCGATTATCTACATCGACAGTGGAGCTACCTTCCGATTTTCCAAACTCCACTGAATCCCTCGACTGTCTTCCACCTGCGGTTGTAAGGCTGAAGAAGAACCGATCCGGCAGAGGAGGACCTAAAGATAAAGAGGAGGATGTTGGAGTTGATGGAGGACTCCACTAGATGCATGTCTGACAACATGCTCCAGATCAATACACACATTGCTAACATCACAAACACCAGGACGGTTTTTCCTTCATGAGGGAATTGTTGTTTCTAGAGCCCGACCGATAAAGGATTTTGAAGGCCGATACCGATACAAATATTTTAAGGTTTTAAAATCCGATATTCCGATATATCGGCCGTTTTTTTTTTTTTTTTTTTTTTTTAACTGGACATGATAATCACAAATTTTGTCATGCTTACAAATTTTGAGTTAAGAGAACTGATGGGGATGATCTTTTAATTGTTTTCAAGCAATGTATGTATCGTGACCAACTCAACGAGTGTTGCCGACAGGAACGGTGTAGAGTGCCCTCTGGTGGACAAACTATACAACTCCAACACTCATGAAATGGTTCAAGCGTGTTTCGTCCGTTTTTATTTTATTTTTGAAATATTCATTTATCTACCATTATAACTGCCGATACCGATAGTTTGGAAAATGCCTAATATCGGCCGATAATATTGGTCTGGCTCTAGTTGTTTCCCTCACAGCAGTGGACCAAGGGCAATGGAATTGGTATGATTAACTTGTCATTTTTTTAATGACATCATCGACCTTATTTCTTCTCATCCTTTTGATGCGTGTGGTTCGTTTTGGATATTTTAACTTCAATTTTTACAGATGGCACCTTTAAAGTACAAGTAGAGCTTTGAATTAGCAAAAACCTGAGCATTGTATATGCTCCCAGGCCACTTCGTGAAGAGACGACTCAACGCCTGCGATATGTTATGGCGCCGTTTGATTCATAAACAATATTTATATTTAATATTTATATTTAAACAATATGAATGTAAGCCAGAGGAGAACTGGCCCCCGACTGAGCCTGGGTTCTCCCAAGGTTTTTTCTCCATCCAATCTGATGGAGTTTGGTTCCTTGCCACTGTCGCCTTGCTTTTGGCTTGCTTTGAGCTTGCTCAGTTGGGGTTATTTATTTAGTGTTTAGCAATGTTGTTGATCTGTGTTGTGCTACTTACATGTTATCACTGTGAAGCTGCTTTGATACAATCTGTATTGTGAAAAGCGCTATATAAATAAATGTGACTTGACTTGACTTGACTTCATCACAACATCAATAAATCTGTGCATCACGTCTGTGCATAAAGAGCATGTTTGCCTTTCCTGTTGATGTAGTCCATTGAGTTGGTATGGCTGCTTGATTTCGATGTGTGTGCCGTCGTCCGCTCCCAAACTCTGTGGCATGCCATGAGCACGATGGAAACCCAAACCACATCCTCGGACTAAACGGTAACTTGATGTATTTTGACCGTCTCAATTGGTGCCCTCATGTTTCGAAACTCTTTGGTAATTTTTTAGAGAGAGATGCTAAAGGTGTAATCAGATTTAATGATCTATGCTAAGCTACAAGCTAAAAGTGCTAACGCCAGACCTGGAGATTGGCTAAATGGATTTGAAAACCGTAAAACTCAATGTTTAACTGTTGGTAAAATGAGCCTATTTCCAACAAGAGTGTTCCCTAAATGAAAGTGACTTGCCATTTTGTTTTTAATTGTATATTGTTGTAAATAAAACATCATATACAATAACCATACTTCATTATGTCAATCAACTGCCCTCGCTGACTGTAAAACTGCCATTGCCATTTAACCCATGCCATTCCAGCACGCACAATAAGAGAGGCTTCCCTATATTTATAACGCAGCGTTTGGACGTCATCCATTCAAGATCTTTTCCTTCAGCCAATCTTCTGAAAGAAGCTAGAAGCCGATCATCAAGACTCGCGCAGCAGTGGACAAAGCCTTCTCTTCCAGTGAGCTTCAGACAAGTGTGTTCTCTCGCGATTGCCTCTCCTGAACAGATCCAATCGAACCTTCTGATGGCCACGAGTCGTGTGTGTTGTTCCTGGGTCGTGCCCACACAGAGGCGCACTGGTTCGGACTGATCCCACTGTGGAGAGATGAGTCTCAGGACCCTCAGGCTCCGTCTGGCCGTTGTT